CTCGACCTCATCGACGAAGCCCACGCCGCGACCCCAAAGCCTCGGAGACGACACCGCCGATCCCCTACGAACTGCACTACGCGCGCAAGATGACGCGGTGGCTCGCGGCGCGGCAGCCCCAGGCCGGCCCGGCGCTCCAGCTGGCGTGCCGCGCGCAGCACTTTCGGCGCTGGGAGATCCCGCGGTCGGCGTACCCGATGACGCGGCCGGGCTACCTCACGTGGCGGGCCAAGCTCAAGTCGCAGGCGGCGGCGCAGGTGGCCGCGCTGCTGACGGCCGAGACGGACGTGCCGCCAACCGACGTGGCGCGCGTCGCGGCGCTCATCAGGAAGGAGAACCTCGCGGCCGACGAGGAGACGCAGGTGCTCGAGGACGTGGCCTGTCTCGTGTTCCTCGACGACCAGTTCGACGGCTTTGAGAGCAAGGAGGAGATTGACGAGCCCAAGATTATCGGCATCCTGCAGAAGACGTGGGCCAAGATGAGCGAGCCGGGCCGGGCGCTGGCGTTGAAGATGGATCTCAGCGAGAGGGCTACGGCCTTGATCACCAAGGCCTTGGCTGGGTGAGCGGCACGGCCGGGATTCCCACACAGAATGGAATTCAAAAGAAAAATTCACAAAAGAAAAATTCACAGCATCAATGAACCCCAGGAATGTCAGCTACCGTGTCGCCTGATGATAGGGCATTCACATGTATCGTTCAGAGAACCTACCTAAGGTAGAGAGAGAGGTACCTTGCCCAGGGAGGCTTCTTGCCCACACTAGCCACATGCAGCAAAGCCGCAACTGCGCCACTCGGTATGAGCTTCACCGAGCGCTGCCGCTTGGCCGCTCTTCCCCCACCGAATCCACCGCCCCCGGATCGCCTCCTCCACGTTGATTCCCTTCCGATCGTGCGAGCATCCACCCGAGGTCGCCTCTTCTTATGTTGAACGTTGCAGACGTCTTCTCATCAATGGACTATCGCTAATTTCTTCTCCTGATCAATGAGTACCTGGCATGCTCACGTCTGCTCTCTACACAGCCCAACTGATCTGAACCCGCTCAGACTCTCATCATTGCTCACGGCACCTAATCTCATAATAACTATCACCCTCCCCTTACCATGTCTCCAGCATCATCACCCTTCGGCTCAACCGAGGCCCGGCAGAGCCCCGAAGCCCCGACCACCGCCGGAACGGCATTCCCTGCACCGGCCACCTCTCAGACCAAACCACCTTTGGATACCCTCATCAGCGCGCATGACTTTGAGGCTGTGGCATCAACCACCTTCCCCCCAAAAGCCTGGGCCTTCGTCTCGTCTGCCGCCACCGACCTTCACACCAAGCGTCGCAACGCCGAGGCCTACGCCTCCATCACTCTGCGCCCCCGCGTCCTTCGCCAGGTCGCCACGGTCGACACGAGCACGACCATGCTCTCGCACGCCACCCGCCTGCCCCTCTTCGCGCCGCCGACGGCCATGGCCAAGCTCGTCCACCCCGAGGGGGAGAAGGCCCTCGGCCGCGCCCTCAAGGCCTCGGGCATGCCCCAGACCGTTTCCGTCAGCGCCAGCTATTCCCTCGCTGACATACTCGCCGCCCACGCCACCCACGACGTCGCCACGCCCTACGATGTGCCCGTCTTCTTCCAGCTCTACGTCGACAAGAACCGCGCCAACTCGGAAGCGCCTCTTGCGTGACGCCCAGGCCCGCGGCGTCAAAGGCCCTCGTCCTGACCGTCGACGCGCCCCTGGCCCGGCAAGCGCGAGGCACCGAGCGCGTTCGCTCCGATGAGTCGCTGGCCTCACCCATCTCGGGCGCTGCCGCCAAGAATGACGCCCGTGGCGGCGCCCTCGGCCGCATCATGGGCAGCTACATTGACGCCAACGTCTGCTGGGACGACATTGCCTGGCTGCGTCGCACCGTGCCGGGGCTGCCCATTGTGCTCAAGGGCATCCAGACCTGGATGGACGCCGTGCGCGCCGCCGAGCACGGCGTCGAGGCAATCATCGTCTCCAACCACGGCGGCCGCAGCCTCGACACGAGCCCTGCCACCATCCTCGTCCTGCTCGAGCTGCAGAAGAACTGCCCCGACGTCTTTGACAAGATGGAGGTCTACGTCGACGGCGGTGTCACGCGCGGCACCGACATTTTCAAGGCTCTCTGCCTGGGCGCCAGGGGCGTCGGCGTCGGCAGGGGATTGCTCTACGCACTCAACTATGGCACTGAGGGCGTCGAGCGGTATATAGATAGTGAGTTCAGCCCTTCATTGCCCCCCTTTGCTTCATCAAAGAGGGCGGCGAGAATAGTCTCTGACATGGAACAGTTCTGCGCGATGAGCTCGAGACGACGATGAAGATGTGTGGGGTGACCAGCTTGGACCAGGTCCATCCCGGTTACCTTAATACTGCGGCCGTTGATCACCTCATTCCTGGAAAGGAAGAACACCCCTATGCGAAATGGAGACCCAGCCAGAAGAGTCGTCTGTAGGACGAATGACTCTGGACAGACAAAGGTACCAAGAGCTCTGGCGTATGACCAGGCCACACACCCGCATCACATCGCCTCTCGGATCTCGAAGGATGACTCCTGCGTGCACCATGGAGTTGCCCTGCTCGCATGGAAGAAGGTCGTCGGAAGACGGGGCTCACACACAACCGCTCCCTCGGAGCATCTATGACGGGCCCACGTCACCGCCCGCCCCCCTCCATCGACACTCAGCTTGGCCACTTCTTGCTCTATAAGCGGACGGTGGCTAAAGGTCCCCCCCCATCGGATAAAGACTAGATTTGCCAAATCACTAGCAACAACGGGCGCACAAACACGAGACTCGTCTGGCCGGGCGTGACCTAACTCGTGGGTGGCAGTAAGCTGAGTTCTTTTGGAACCTTGATCCTTGCAAGGCTGCAATGCAGTCGGTGCACAGAGACGGATATGGAAGGCGTTGAGCGCGGAGCCTCGGATAGGAACCCTACCTACCTACAGATGCACTTACACATTGGTGCATTCGGCGATCTTACCGACCATACCATGCCCATGCTATACATCTTCTACAATGTGACATCCTGATGTTGCGTTCCCGCCGCTTATAGATGTCGGGCCAAGGTTGAGCAGGCGGGCTGCTCCACTGTTGGCCTCCTTAACTTCATCTCAAGGCCATGGCGGTGCCTGTGGTGTAACACGAGACGTGACAATGTGGCATGCAGGCTGTGAACGAATGATGATGGCAGGGTTCCGAGAAGCCGGTCGAAATAAGACCATAGCCTACTGTTATAGGCAACCCGAATTATCGATATACCTCTTTCGCCGGTCTCGCCGCATTCGGCCTGCTG